GCGAAAATAATGGGGAACGGGAAATACAGGCCAGATTTCTATGTTATTAAAATACATTCAAAAAGCACCCACAAACATCTACTACAGAATTAAATTGGAGCCAGTTTTGTTCCTGTTGTTATGGAATTTCTTCCAACATATTAGAAATTGACTGAGTGTCCGGGTTTTTTTCCTGTTACTTTCTTGTATTTCTACAGTTCATTAATTAAGAAAAATGAAAAAAAAACAACCCACAATGAAATCCGCGGGATGCTCACTGTAAAGGCAAGTAGGAAGAGACAAACTACAGTTTCTTGGACACTCGTGTATACTTTTTCCTGTTTTTTGTGTTATTACAATTACATGTTTTGTCTTCAACTTTGTGTTTGCATTCCTATAATATACTATACTATAATATAATATACTATAATATAATATAATATAATATAATATAATATAATATAATATAATATAATATAATATAATATAATATAATATAATATAATATAATATAATATAATATAATATAATATAATACAATATACTATAATATAATACAATACAATATAATATAATATAATATAAATGTTGATGTGCAGAAGTAAAACTTTTGGAGATGTGACAATTTGACGTTTGCACTTTCCTAGCATTCTCTGAGATGTGAAAGACATTTTGCCGTCTTCAAGAAGTAGAAGGAAGAGAAAATTCAGATTCTGCGCACCTTCTCAACAATCACACAGAAAGTTTTAAACATTTAACAGTATAGCGGGTCGCCAAGCAATGGAGCAATTGAACTGTAACAAAACGGAGGTACACGATCTCAGGTCTACCCACAGTAATAAAAGTCTCTTTGTTGTATCACAGGGAGCCGCGATTGTTGTCTTAATGTGTAGTATTTCAAGTAGAACAATACTCTGTCCATATTGTCACTATCAGGGTATTGGATTGTCAGAGAGAGAGAGAGAGAGAGAGAGAGAGAGAGAGAGAGAGAGAGAGAGAGACAGACAGACAGACAGACAGACAGACAGACAGACAGACAGACGGACAGAGAAATTAGATCAATATGCAAAAGATATTTTTTTTAAAATAAGAGGTAATGGGGTGATCAGGACACAGCGTCGTTTACTGAGTTCCCCTGAGCTGACCAAAGATGTAACTGGAGAAAAAAGATAGAATCATTCACAAATAACCAAGATCTATGGGAATTGACATAAAAACAAATGAGCAAAACAAAAATACAAATAGAACAGAAACTCCCGCAGACGTGTCAAACCAGAGACCAGATCATATTCCTTAAAAAAACAACCCCAAACCCACCCAAAAACTTGTTTATACGATTCCACTATATTTATTGACCAGATCGATTCTATTCCAATTTTGTTCTAACTACGGTGTTTCTTCTTTTACACCACATATTTCCTTTTTATCGCCTTTCTTTATTTTCAAATGCTTTGAACTTTAACTTTCGTAATTTAATCTGTCTTATGACGGGAACGTTATGCCATTCAATTAACCTAGATATTGTACAGATGATTAACTCCTGGGAATCTGAAATTATTTTTTTTTAATCAAGAAAACGAACAGAATAGATTAGTGGGAAAGACATCATCCTGTAATGTGATTTCAATATATCTGATGACCTCATCGATTTTTGTCCTTTTTTAAAGTGCTATGTGTTTTTCTTTTGCTTCACATCTAGTTATATTTATCACAGATCTTTCTCTCTGTTCCATTCTCACTGGTTTCTATTTTTATTTCCCTATCTTTTCCTTTATTCTGATTGAAATTTGATGACTTTCTAATAACCGGGATAATTAAATGCTGAGAGTTTCTAAAAATCAAATAGATCTATGCTGCCCCTCTTTTGTCTTCCATCACTAGGAGAAACAACTAAACAACAAAACCAACATGAACAAAATAAAAACACAAAAACACAAAAACAAAAAGAAAAAACAAAGAACGAGACAACTTTTGGGAGTGCAGCAAAAACTAAAAGCACAAACAACAACAACAACAACAACAACAACAACAACAACAACAACAACAACATTAATTAAAAAAAGGTGAGATAACAACAAGGACACAACTTGGCTACAGCAATGAAAACAGCATTGCAACAACAATTATGATAAAACCACAACAACATTAATTAAATAAAGGTGAGATAACAACAAGGAGACAACTTGGCTACAACAATGAAAACAGCATTGCAACAACAATTATGATAAAACCACAACAACATTAATTAAATAAAGGTGAGATAACAACAAGGAGACAACTTGGCTACAACAATGAAAACAGCATTGCAACAACAATTATGATAAAACCACAACAACATTAATTAAATAAAGGTGAGATAACAACAAGGAGACAACTTGGCTACAACAGTGAAAACAGCATTGCAACAACAAATATGATAACACCACAACAACAATGACACAAACATTACAGCAGGATTGACGAAACAAACACTAACTTGTATGCATATGTATGAGTGGGTGAGTCTATGTGCGCCCGCGTGCATTTGTGTGTGTGTATGTGTGTGTGTGTGTGTGTGTGTGTGTGTGTGTGTGTGTGTGTGTGTGTGTGTGTGTGTGTGTGTGTGTGTGTGTGAGAAATTGTGTGTGTAAATGGTGAGCGTGTTTGTTCTTTCAGTGTGTCTTTCTATCATTTATGCTGTATTCACTTATGTTGTATGAATGTCTATACCTTTCCTCCCTTATTGTAGTCAGCGTACCGCCGTCAGTACAACTCACGTTCTTTAAAGACAAGATATCCCAACATCAAATTTGATAGACCACGTCAGTACAACTCACGTTCTTTAAAGACAAGATATCCCAACATCAAATTTGATAGACCACGTCAGTACAACTCACGTTCTTTAAAGACAAGATATCCCAACATCAAATTTGATAGACCACGTCAGTACAACTCACGTTCTTTAAAGACAAGATATCCCAACATCAAATTTGATAGACCACGTCAGTACAACTCACGTTCTTTAAAGACAAGATATCCCAACATCAAATTTGATAGACCACGTCAGTACAACTCACGTTCTTTAAAGACAAGATATCCCAACATCAAATTTGATAGACCACGTCAGTACAACTCACGTTCTTTAAAGACAAGATATCCCAACATCAAATTTGATAGACCACGTCAGTACAACTCACGTTCTTTAAAGACAAGATATCCCAACATCAAATTTGATAGACCACGTCAGTACAACTCACGTTCTTTGAAGACAGGCCATCCCAACATCAAATTGAATAGACCATGTGGACTTTCTTTACCGTTGTCTACATTTAAACATGATCAATCCGTCAATCAATAATTCCAACTCCAACACCAACGAACACATTTCAAAAGAAAAGAGAAAAACATACGCACGTGTTCACCAAAGAGCAAGAAAAATAAATAAAAAGAAGACTGTCCTCCCCTCCACTTGTCAGCATGTTCGTGTTTTAGTAAAAGTGCAGCTTGCACTGTATGCCTCCCAGGATTGTCTATTTGAGAACGCTATCAGGCCTGCTGGGGTAATAATATAGATTGCAAAGCTCGTAGAGCTTCCTGTTGAGCGGGAATTTGCGCTATACAAATGCTTTCTCTTATTGTTACTTACCTCAATATTTGTGACTACAACCAAACACAACAAATGGCTGGAACAAAATTAAATGCTCTGAATGTCTCATCATCTCTATTGTTTCAGTAAACGTATTTCTGCACTTCCAATACAAATATGTCATGCTCGTATGAGTGTCGCAAAGAGAAAGTGTATCTAGAGAGTAACATACAGAGAAAAGGAGGAGTTATGCTGACAATAGATGTTTGAAAGGAAAGACGGAGCAAACCCCACCAGAGCACCTGCCACTTCCCAATCATTATAACATCTAATACCACATCGTGCCATATCTTAAAGTAGAACGCACTGTCATCAACATCGAAAACAAGAACATAATGATGCTGAGTACCATCATTTCATTCCCCTTACTACACCTCATGTTTCACCTTTCAACATTTGAAAACCACCTATGAAGTCTTTCTTTCACAGGAACCCTACGGATTTTTTATTATGGCATAGAAGTGAAGATGCTAAATTATCAGCTAGGGTAATTCAATCTGTTGTCTGTTGATGAGTTCCACCCTTGCTGCAAGGATCAATGAGTTAAGAATGAGAAACTCGGGGAGGGGTTAGCTGGTTAGGGATGTGCCCTACATTGGGAATTGTCTGTTAAGTAGTTCACGCTCGCATAGATCAAATTTAGATAGCTAAAATTTTAAAAATCCAGCAACAACAACAACCACTCAGGAAATGATAAAGTTTGGATTTAATCAAACTATTGTCGGCCAATACTCCGAATTTAAACAGATTTCATAACGTCATCTGCCGTAACTGAACTGACTATAATATTCTGTGCGCCCACTTCAACAGAATAATAGAACATTTCTGAACAGGCGACTTGCAACGAACTCTCAGCCTACCGTGGCTACCTCGGACTGGGGCTGACAATGATTCCTAGCAGGGAAAACCAGATACCTGAGCAAATCGAACTCCCCTCTCTTGTGTGTAAAGTGTAGAACCAAACGATTTACACCCCAGACACCCGGTCCATCGCAAACGAATCTCCTCTGTGTAAAAAATAAACGAAGTGTTTGTCTGCACTTAAAGATTATCTTTAATTAGACACGCCAATGTTTATTCGCAGTGAGTGTTTTCTTTACACTCCCCAATCCCATTCTATATAACAGTAGATTATCCACAAACACTGGCAAACTCTCTGGTGACACTTGCATACACAACATTCTACTGAACGGTAAAGACGCCATTCTAGAATTTCACGTTCTGAGGAAATTGAAACTGACAGTGGTTGTCATGAAGATTTACTGAAAGTTGGGTGAAAACTGAACAATCGGTATCATAGAGATTCTAATTTCCATGGCGAGGTGAACTGTTCTGAGAATTAGAATCTGTGGAAAGAAATGACGTTTAATTTTCATTTGTTGTCGTTTTCTTTCAGGTGAGAGAAAAGACAAGTTCAGAACAGCCAAAAGGATCAAAATGGAAATGAGGAATTACTGAGGAAGAACAGAAACTCTGGTGGATTACTCAGAAAGAGAGGGAATTCACCTCCCTCTGATAACCACAAACCCTCTTTTTTTACTTTGAGACCTCAAGATCTCAGGGGATTGAAGCCTCAACGATCTTGAAGATTTGGGGTATTCCAAAGTTTGTTGGAACTTTGCACGAAAACAAGAAAACTTTTCTTTAGTGCTGAAAAAATCAAAGCCGGACCGACATGAGTAATAGAAGGAGAGGAAAGAAGTAGGACAACGTGGCGCTACATCCACTTACTTGGCTTCAGTAAGTACCTCAAGGAACGGCCTAGTAGCTAGCATAATAATAACATATAAGTTTTATACATTGCTCGGCCCCAATTAAAGATCACTGCCTCTGAGAGCTTTACAAGGCGTACAAGTAGCAACACATAAACAGTACATTGTGTTCTGACTAAAGATCTAGAAACAATGGCACAAGGGTACCAGGGCACAACACTGCTCCCACTTTTAATGGCACGCGTGCTAGAAGCCAAAGCGTCAGGCGGAGATCCAACAGAACCATCTCACCATGTGCCAGACACACGTCATCGCCACCACCACCACAACCCGCGGCCTCACGCCCACATCGTCAAACCGACACAAGAAGATGGCATGACCACCCATAACTCCTCCTTCTTGAGCAGCATCACCACCATCTCCATCAACAACGTCTCTGACAGCACCACCACCGACAACAACACAGGAGACTACTACGACTATTACCAGGACGATGGTCTCACCCCAGAGGCCACGGCTGCGATTCACTGGATCTTTATCATCCTCTCTGCTGCTGTTCTCGTGGTCGGCCTTATGGGCAACGCCCTCGTCTGGTTTGCCGTCTGGCGTAACCCACGCATGCGCAGCGCGACCAACATCTTCTTGGTGAACCTGGCTGTGGCTGACTTCCTCGTGATCCTGATATGCCTGCCACCCACCATGACGGAAGACATCACTGGGATCTGGTACCTAGGACCGGAGATGTGCAAGCTCGTCAAGTGTCTGCAGGTCAGTCGTCATGTCATCGTGTTCTAAGATGCTATATCTATCTGACGATTTTGTCTCTTCGTTTGTCTGCTTTGTTCTGTACTCAAAAAGACCGATGACTGTGTCTCTTTATATCTCTGCTTTGTCCTATCTTTACAAAGACTGATTATCTTGTCTCTTTTTGTAATGCTTTGTTCTTTCCTTACAAAGACTGATCACTTGGTTTAGGGAAAGGAAGCTCAGGTCAAGAAGATGGTCCTCGTCTTCTGCGTGTTTGCTTGTTTGTTTGTTTGTTTGTTTGTTTGTTTTGTCGTTGTCTGAGTGTGTGTGCGCTTTGTGATTGTGAATGTGTGCATATGTGTGTATGGATGTGTGTGTTTGTGTGTGTGTGTGTGTGTGTGTGTGTGTGTGTGTGTGTGTGTGTGTGTGTGTGTGTGTGGGTGTGTGTATAATATGATATAATGAATAATAGACATAAATATATATATATATGTATATATATTATAATATATAATATATTATATATTATACATATATATTATACATATATATATATATGTATAATATATATAATATAATATACATATTTCCAGGGACGGAGATTTATTAACCATCTCGATAATCTGCAAAATTACAATATGTCGTGCTTGGGGTTGAAAAGGGCAACATTGGAAGAACGAAAACAAATTCTCTGACGCCGTTTGAGCCTCACTCCAGAGAGAAATATTACGATCAAACACTGATAGAATATTGAATATATTCTCTTTGTCAACTTTCGTCATCGCCCATGCGTCCACCACCCCCACACACCTTCCATACTATGTTTCTTCTATACCGCCTTCTCTCCTGTCCCTCGGTTTAATCAATTTGTCCTCCCACCATCCGTCAGTTTTTTTCGCTTTCCCTCACCTCCACCTCTCTCTCTCTCTCTCTCTCTCTCTCTCTCTCTCTCTCTCTCTCTCTCTCTCTCTCTCTCTCTCTCTCTCTTTCTCGCTTGTGTGCCTTTCTCACGTCCTATCTTAATTTTTATCCAACCGTTCTTGTATTCAAAATCCTTTTTTGTTACTTCCCCAACAGAATAACAATTAATCGTGTTAGCATTAACCAAACGTGTAAACATGCTCGGACTGACGTCAAGACAAAATCAAATTAAAGTTGGTTTAACCCAAATGCTTAGAAAATACTTGCACATTTGTCACTCGTCTATTCGTTTCTGCTTGGCTTCCAGTAATTTGGCTGAGAACAAACCTCACAACAGGAAACGACCTGCGGTTTACAATTTGTTGCTTCATTGTATGTTTTGTTCGACACGTGTAGGACAGAGAAAAACACGAGTGCATGAAAACAAAAACAAAACACTTGAGAAACTTGCACAATGGAGGAAAAGTGACCTCTGAATCTTGTTTTCTACTAATTTGGCTTCAAGCAAATCTCACAGCGGAACAGCAATTTAATAACACATATTTTAAGAAGCTGCAATCAAAGTGAGTCAGCATGTCTTTTGAAAGAGGTATACGACATCCAAGCAGACAGACGGAAACGCTCGATAAAAATTCTCCTCACAAAGAATCGAACTCAGGCCTACTATCTACACCACAGACACCAGTGGAATAACACAAGACGCCAGATTTCTACAAATCAAATAACTGGAGTTCAAACTGGCACCACTGGTGTCTGTGGTGTAGTGGTCAGGCTTTCCGTCATCGGACGCAGAAAACCTGAGTCCACCTCCTGTGTAGAGAATAAGTCTGGAGTATCTCGGTAGTTCTGGAGTATCTCGGTAGTTCTGGAGTATCTCGGTAGTTCTGGGGTATCTCGGTAGTTCTGGAGTATCTCGGTAGTTCTGGGGTGTCTCGGTAGTTCTGGAGTATCTCGGTAGTTCTGGAGTATCTCGGTAGTTCTGGAGTATCTCGGCAGTTCTGGGGTATCTCGGTAGTTCTGGAGTATCTCGGTAGTTCTGGAGTATCTCGGTAGTTATGGGGTATCTCGGTAGTTCTGGGGTATCTCGGTAGTTCTGGGGTATCTCAGTAGTTCTGGAGTATCTCGGTAGTTCTGGAGTATCTCGGTAGTTCTGCTACGTGTCCGTGTACGAGCAGGCTAACCCTGTGGCATAACAAGCAGGGTTGGAGCCCGCCTCATCAATATCATGAATCGTGTAGATGAGAGTGTAAAAAACCTACATTGAACAATTTTGTACAAAATAATGGCAAAAACTAAACCTACTGTGTTATTAATTCGTAAGCTTAAAAAACAAAATAAAAACGAGAAAATCCGGCTTCGTGCTTTTCAAAAGAATATTGAATGCTATACCTTCATTTACAAAATTGAGAGCTGAAAAGTGTATGGTTTCTTCTGAAAAGAGAAGAAAGGTCGCCACCACCAGAATATAAATATTAAAGACCCCGGGGGACACAGCCGTTGCAATTATGTTCTGACCTTTGGAAACGCTGTCTTTCACATTGTCATAAACAAGCTACTGAGAACTTTTGGCACCGGGTTCCAGCAGGCATTTCGCTGTCGAGGTGCTTCAAGGCGAAACCATAAAACTTGTTCCATTCCGTGCAGTAATTCACTAGCCTGGATCTATGTCTACAGCTGGAGGTGTTGCTTCGTGGTCTAGTTCTGCGGACTCTCCTCTCTCTGTTTACCTACCTTTCTGTAAGCATCCACGTTTTTTGCATCAGCTAATGGTTATATTACACACAAAAAAGTTCGTAACAAAGACGAAAGACGCTTACAGAATAGATAAAGGAACTGACAGCAATATATCTATCTATCTATCTATTACGGTATCTAGCTGTCAGTCTGAACATTTGTCAGTCTGAACATTTGTCTGCCTGTCTTTTTGTCTGTCTGTCTACCTACCTACCTACCTACCTACCTACCTACCTACCTACCTACCTACCTACCTACCTACCTACCTACCTACCTACCTACTTATCTACTTATCTATCCTGTTGCACTGTTTTCTTGTTTGTATCATCAGTATTTGAGTATGTATGTCGGTGCCCCGTTGACAAAACTGTGAAAAGTGAACTTCCATCAAAGGTACATTACACATAATTCCAACCGTCAAAACATTGTTTTCATATATTCTGTAGCCAGACGCAGGCTAGTTATCCACTTTGGCGCAGAGTCAGTGCTATGTACACAATAGAGTCTACAATACAACCCGAAGGAGATCACTACATAGATTACTTTTAACATTCCTGTCGGATTAGACAGGCATTCGCAATACAGAGGTCCATGCTGATTCATCAAAAATTCTCTCTCTATATTATCGTAACAGAAGGTTTCCACATGCCGCGTTGAGCTATCGTAAGCCCATTCAAAACGTTATCCTATAGAGGATTTTGTTTTCAGGGTCGTTATGCAATTTCAAAGATTTTTTCGTTTCTTTTTTAAGCTTTGGCTTTGTAGTACAAACCGTTGTTCTCCAGATAAATCTTTCAGTGATCGGCAGGCGTCATACACAGGGTTCTTTCTTTATTTTTGGAATAGTCTGGGTGGGATTGAAAGTGTTTCTTTTACCGTTGTTCAAGTTGGCCTTCAAACGAAGGCGATCCATTGTTTTTAAAAACCCGCCTATATCGCTACACTTTTGCCGGTGATTTAAGAGGCGGGTTACTTCAACCCTGCGTGTCAGGACCAACCCGGACTGAGTGAGACACAGCCTCAAAGCAGAAAGACTGACACCCTCGATAGAAATACATTTCTTTACTCGGAATAAAACTCACGTCCTCTGCGTGCATGACGAAAAGGCTTGCTACTGCAGCGCAAATAAAGATGAAATGGCTTTCTAAACAAAGTTCTTCAACTTTTAGAAGACGGCATATCTACAACTGACAAGATGCTGCTGCAACTCCACCCTTATATTGTGTTAAATCTTCACTCTTTTCATAAATAAATGTTGCTGGGTAATACTTGCTTGTTGCTTGAAAAAAGTCTTTTTATAATGAAATAAATGCTGATGTATTCACATTTCAAATTGAACATGTTGCGACAAAGCAGGAAAAGGCTGGCGACTTGTAAGAGTTAATAGTGGTCCCTTAATCAGGTGGTTCAACGGTGAGCACAATGGAAAAACATGTAAGAGTTAATAGTGGTCCCTTAATCAGGTGGTTCTGTCGCAGGGCTCAGAGGTTCAAGGGCGAGCACAATGGAAAAACATGTAAGAGTTAATAGTGGTCCCTTAATCAGGTGGTTCAATGGTGAGCACAATGGAAAAACATGTAAGAGTTAATAGTGGTCCCTGAATCAGGTGGTTCAACGGTGAGCACAATGGAAAAACGTCTCATGTCCCCAGTTCTGACCCCGAGTAGGCTGTCCTGACGTCGTCGGTAATAAGAATCATTAACCTGCTTACAAAGGTGTGTATTTACTCTGTATAATAAGGCTGGCGTATGGAAGAATGCAGGCACAGAGTTTGTTTGATAATGAAGAACAGCGAGCTAATGCTCTGTATCCCGAAGAATTAACGTCTACATGTCCTGCAAACTGAGACTCATCATTATTTTAGTAACTCTCACCACCACCTACCCCCCCTCCCCCATCCACCCCCACTCTCCCGGGGGAAAACCCTTCCATACTATACAGAAGCAAACAACCAGTCCTGACCAACAACAATACCCTGCAAAATCCCCCCACCCAAAAAACATTAAAAAACCCAAACAACTAATAAGCACAACCACCCCCCCCCCCCAAACAAAAACCAACTGTCGCATAAACATTTCGGATACATTCGACCATCATGAAGGGAAATGACATTTCGCAGCCTTCGAATGACAAAGCTCTATCTGACACGTTTGGCCGTTTTGAGTTACTGTGACCATGACGTCAGAGACCAGTCAATGATCTATCTGCTCTATCAATACCGTAAGATTACTTGAAGTCGTTATCAAAATATTCAAAGAATTACTTTCGAAAAGGCTTGACGTTACGTGAAACTCAAAATGTTTGACGTAAAATTTCTCCACATTAGGAACTGAGCAGATAGAAGGAAGTAATTCTGAGGTAGCAAA